CCCCCCCCCCCCCTATAAATCCACCCCTGTGCTACATTGATTAGGGCCTCATTTCATTGGCGGAATATATGTGGTGGATGAGCACCATTGTGTGAAGTTTGTATCGCACGACCGAGATATCAGCCACCACAATTCTGATGCTTCCTATATACTTACTGTTAAATTTTCAAAATCTCGGCCGTGCAATTTCCAAACTTTCCAGTCTGGTCATGATCGCACCGTCGCGCGTTCCAAATTTATTCCAGTATGAAGCAGTCACCAGCACTCTCATCTTCGTGATTAAAATCATCTGGCATTAGACAGAGCAAAATGATAAAGTAGGGCACATGAGGGTGCAATACAACTAAATGGGTCAAAATCAGGTAATATTTAAATATTATATTTAAACAACCATTAATTAATCTATATTGTACAAACTCACGTGTCCTTCTTTCTGAACAAGTGATCTTTGATAAAGACTTTCTGCTTCTTCAAACTTTCTTTGATCAAACCATATTGTTTCGTTTCTTAATTCGATCATTATTGAAGAGTATTAAGAAATAATCTGTTCTTGAAAACAATTGAAAGAAGAACGATCGAAAGACCAGCAAAATATCACTCTTCTCAACAATATATTTCTCAGACGAAAAAGAAAGATGGCAAGCAGTGTTTCCACTTAAGTATACTATGTAATTTCCACTTTTGTAATTTCCTAAAATTTCAAATATATTATTGGTAACAAATATCAACTTTAATTTTACCTTCAAATATTAACAAATACCCTGAGATGCACGGTGGATGTGAATAGCGTTATAGCGCAAGGGTATTATTCACCGAAACGCAACAAAGTCAACCCCCTTCTCTCACTAGAATCATACAAATCTTATGTCCCCATCCTCCTCGATACCCAACCCCACCTAATGTGCCATGTGGCCCATGTCTCTAAGTTGACGTAAATGGCTACTAAATGCAGTAGGCATGAATGTGATAGGTCTACAGGTTCGTTTGCGAAATTTTTAGAATAATTGACAATCATTAATGGACATTTGCATTATAGACTAAATTTTGGTCTAAACAAAAATTTCATCACAGCTTGAAAGAGCATCACAAAATTAGTAATATTCCAAAGTTTCGTTGCGAAATGATGTAAAATGCGGATAATATAGCCTTGCGAAATTTGCAATTTTCAGTCATTTTACTGTTACAAACGGGAAATTGATGCCCCAACACCCGATTGGGCTGTCAATTTCCCGTGTGTAATACAAAATGACTGAAAAACGGCAAACTTCGCAAGGCTATATATATTATACGCATTTTACAACATTTCGCAACGAAACTTTGGAATATTACTAATTTTGTGATGCTCTTTCAAGCTGTGATGAAATTTTTGTCTAGATCAAAATTTAGTCTATAATGCAAATGGTCCATTATTAAAACGTAACCTTATATTTAGAGCCCTAACTTTTTTCTCTAAAATACAAGCTTATATAATCCTGGGAATTAATATAAAAGTCAATTTATTGACAAAATATTTTGGAAGAAACACCTGCAGATGATAAACAATTATTGGATGAGGCTGAGCATGATATCAACAATAATTTTCAGACCGAGGTCAATGTCACCACAGGGTGCCCGACTATGATCTATTTATATATCAAAATCTCTGTAATTGATACAGACTCTGTATCAATACGGATATTAACCATACATAATCTCTATACAGTAACATTAAAGCGGTCAGTGCAGAAACGTGCGTGATAAAGCTCCATACAGTTATATTAAAGCGGTCAATGGACGAAACACGCGGAAGCGAGGTAACGCGCGAGGGAAAATCCGGTTATTTTTTCATGTCACGCAATCACGAAACCTAATCCAATCCCTAACAATCCCTAACCCTAACCTCCTAAACAATCATATTTCGTGACTGCGTGACATGAAAATGTAACTGAAAATCCCCTCCTCGGGTCTTTTTTCGTATTTTCCCTCGCGCGTTCCCTCGCTTCCGCGTGTTTTGTTCACATATTTTGCGAAACGGACAGCCCGCAAGTTCATGACAGCCTGTAACTCGCCCGCGCTTGGAAGGCCAGGGACTAGGCTGTGATCTCCCCTCAGCAACTTTTGACTTTCTTGAAACCTAACCCTCATCTGTGTTAAAAAATCTTGAAGTCCATCCCCCCTTACCAGCTCCCCCTCCGACAAAATTAACATGAATGCTCCCCAAAAAGTAACGAAAATATTTTCAAAACAATTTGTTTTTCAACTCAGTATTTTAAACAAAACAGTATTTACGCGCTTTTAGTAATGTTATTCATTAGAAACTTTGTGGCTTTCGTCCTGTTTGGCAAAACCGCAGTCTATATATAGCTCGTGTAATAGAACAAAAATTTGCTCGTCTATAATTGTAGTGGGAACGAAACGGATCGAAGCCATTTCGTGTTTGTCTGGGGGCTGGAGTCCAAGGAACCCGAGCTCAACAAATAGCAATCAATCAAATTGCACGCCAGAAAAGGACTATCCATGCATGGTTCCCGAATATGTGATAACAATGTGTATTTTTTAAATATTATTAATTAACCCTCTTAGGGCCTGTTCATATGGGCAAAAGTTATCTCGGTTAACGAGAAAACTTTTCGGCTAGCCAAATACTTTTGTTCTATTCATATGGAGAAACGTTATCCCGCTTACCGGGTAAAGTTTCCGGCTGTGACGTAGCACTGAACATCAATTGAATTGAAAAGTTGCTGACACGACAGAAAGTTATCCCGCTAAGCGGGAAAGTTGTGTTCATATGGGAAAAACATTATCCCGTGTACCGTGATCTCGCCTGTCAACAAGCGAAATCTTGGTACACGGGAAAACTTTCCGTCTCATATGAACGCAATGTAACTTTTCATATTATTTTCGTAACAAGGCGAGATCTCGCTCGTAAACTTGTCGAAAAGTTTTCTCGCTAACCGGGATAACTTCTGCCGGCCATATGAACAGGCTCTTAGATATTAAATGTACTAATCGATCCTGTACTAATTACCTACTACCAACAATCCAGAATAGAGAAAGAGCTACAAGATCTGCTGATCCGAACTGTTTGATGTTTACAACAAAAAAATGCAAGACCACAACATACCAGAAGTCATTCCTGACGAGATCAACGAGAGTGTGGACATTTTACCAAAAGACTTGACAGATAAAAACACTACATTTAACGGATTTAAAAGCGGACTTCTCACTGAACACTATAAATCTGCCTTACGAACTGTTTATAACGCAGAGGATCCTCGAACTTGGAAATCTATATATGTTTGTCTTGTAATACGTCTCGTAACCTGTCTTGTCCCATATCGTGCTGTTGTTAGTTTTTTGGGGAAGAAGCAGAATTTTCTGTCAGTCTGTAAGCTGTGTTTAAAACCAGCTTGAATATTAAACAACAATTAAAATATAAATATTCTGCATGGTACGAATTTAGTAAGCTTGATATACAGAAATTTTTGTGTAAAGAGAAATTGGTGGGGTATTCTGCTTTTAACCCCCGATATTTTAAAGTTTGTTTGTCTTGTATTGTGTAAAGGGTCACTGTAATTGGCGGAAGCTGTAGCGTATACCCAGCCATGTCAATGTATGTATCGTTTATGTTAATGTATGTATAGCAAGTGATTTTAAGTTGATTTGGCAAAGCCTAATAAATAAAATAAATGAAATAAATAATTTTAAAAACTCTAATTCCGCAGTTTTGCATTGCGCACTTTTACTGCGCACATCTTATAACTTACAATTTCATCCATTACACGTACCGTTTTAAAAAAATCATTTTATGACAATTTTATGTTACTTCAAAACATCCTTGGTTACATTCGTGCAAAGAATTACGTTAAAACCAATGTTTTCAAAAAAAGGCATACAAAAGTGTAGCTAGGGTTTCTGTGTCTGTAGTATATTTATTTATTTTACTTGTATTTCACGTTTTAATGCCACAATTCCCTAAAAAGATCGGTGACCCCCGTTTTTTAACTGATAATTTATTTCTTTAATGCATCTTACATTTCATATCCGAAATTAAAAGAAAAATCATTTCTGGTTCTTGAAAAAAAAATCCTTTATCAATGCATGTTCTCAAAGAAACATATGTAAAGAAATCTGGAAAAGACATTTGTGGATCAGAATCGTGTACGTTAGTAGTTTCATTTTACTCAAAACACAATATTTTATCAAAAATAATTACATGATAAGTTTACAAAAGCAAAATCCGCACGAAAAACGTCAATGAATATCGGGCTGTTGTGATTTTGCTGTTACTCGTAATGAGCGTCAAGATGGCGCCATATTGGGGGTAAAGGTGGTATATTGTGATTGTCATATCTTCTTAACGTGTTCGGTGACCTCGGCTTTTTTGTGTGATTTTACTTTAAGTATATCATAAACTCCATGCCTGGGAAGTTTCAGCGCATTCTCATTTCGGGAACAATTACTGCGGAATTACGTTAACCTCAATCCATCGCAAATTTACCATTTTTTTAAAAAACTATAGTGAGTCACCTTAACCCAAAATTGAAACATCTGGCAAAAACTCTCAGTTTTCTGATATTTGGTATTTTGGGGGTTATTTTACATTCGGAATAGATAGTTCCACATTGAACCCCAAATATTTCCGGTTTTTCACCAAATATCCCAAGGTTTCCCTTTCCATATGTCTCCTCCCACAGGCCGAGACGATTTCTTTTTTTGAACGGGAGTTCCTAATCTGGACCCAGAGCAATGCCTGAGCGCAGGAAAACAATGCCATCCTCGCCTGCGCTCAGGCATTGCTCTGGCTACGAGATTGGATATCAGGAGGGTGGTAAGGGGGGTATGGATCACGTTTCACAACGAAAAAAAAAGCCGTTTCACGATTCACGTGTCTTAAAAAGCAATTTCACGGAAAACATAAATAATATAATAATAATAGGTTTATTAAGACTATGTTTAATGCATGGTGCAGTATCTACGCTTTAAGTTCTCTCATTTCTCTACCTGTCAGTTAAAAACTACATCATAACTTACAAGTTTCAGTGCCGAGAATGTACGACGACGTCCGCGCGCGTGTCCTCAGCGTGAGGAACCTTGACCTCAGCGTGAGGAATCTTGTCCTCAGCGTGAGGAACCTTGTCCTCAGCGCGAGGAACCTTGTCCTCAGCGTGAGGAACCTTGTCCACAGCGTGAGGAACCTTGTCCTCAGCGTGAGGAACCTTGTCCTCAGCGTGAGGAACCTTGTCCTTAGCGTGAGGAACCTTGTCCTCAGCGTCAGGAACTTTGTTCTCAGCTTCAACTTCAACTTCAACTTCAACTTTATTTAAACACGGTACTATTTCACAGTATATTAAAATATATTATTTACAAAAACAACAAAAAAAAGTGGTCTTCCAATAGGCCGTGTGCTAACTACTATAAATATAAAAACAATTTTATAACTTAACATATTAATCTACATTGTTTTACGCCACTCTTAAAAGTTGCTATACTTCCTAGCGACTTCAGGTTAATTGGGAGAGCATTCCAAGTCTCCGCACCTCTGCAGGCCAGTGATTTTTTCATAGCATTAGTAATTTGCATTGATAATGTATAATTAAATTCACTTTGCCTAGTGTTATGATTATGGACTTCTTGTGTATTGATGAAAATATCCTGCAGGTAGTTTGGAACCATTTTATGTTTAATCTTATACATTAATGTAGCAAGTTGTTGTTCCCTTCTTGTTTGCTGATCTGAAAATCCTGCCTTGATTAGAATATATTTTGATCCAGGGCCGTCGCGAGCGGGGGGTGTGGGGGGGGGGTTGCTTCACCCCGCCAATAATTTTCGCCAGTCGGCAAATTGCTTCGTTACTATTCGGCAAATTGCGAATTCGGCATTCAGCAAATTGTAAAAGTTAAGAACGAAGGCGATAAATAAAGCGATAAATTTTGGATTTAAAATAATGGTTTGTGTGGCCTTATACCATTTAAATGTATTTCTATTTTCTAGTAATAATATTAGTCTTTTATTTGTCGAAAATCGACGGGAGGCTGAAATGTGAAACCCACGTTTCCGGGCATATTCTTCGCTCGACTGCTCTTATAGCGAAGGCTCTTCATGCGCGGTTCAAAACCCAAAAGAAAAAGGATAAAACTTTAGTGTCTTGAATGTAATTCGATTTTTGACGACCATATAGAAACTTTATTATTTATTTCACGAGGGAAAACGTATTAACCATAAAAGTTATCTAACATACGGCCCGACGATTACCGTAAGAGGCACGAGCAAACTTGCCATAAGGGAAACTGAGTGCGAGTAGCACATAAAGACGTACCAGCTAATCCGTTTGAGACTGCAAAGCGCAGTCAAAGCCAAAGAGAATATTTTGAGTCGTCAGAGGCGCAAGATCCTCAAGAAGACTCCACAGGCACATGAGAAGAAGACCAAGAGAAAGACGAGCCATGCCACTGATAAGAACGGACTTGTCTTCTTTAGTTCTTTAGCGAAATTACTGTTAACTCTGATCAGCCTACAGTTTTGAAAGACATACCGCATACAGCGATCGGTATCACTGATCGGTTGCATATGATCATATCCGTTTTACTCGCTTTCTGATGCATAAAATTTAAACTCTTGGAAAATCGGGTCGTACAAAAGCCCAGGTTAACACTACCCGGCACTAAGAGTTTTAAGACTGCTCAAAATACAAATAATTATATATAAATTGTCTATTCGGCACCTGGGGATAAAAAAGGTCAAATTCATCAAATTGCCATGAAAATATTGAAATAAAATATCAATGCAATCACATGCAGAGACTTGCATGGATACCCTGGTTCCAGAGGTTTATTCTTATTATTTTCATTGCGAAGGGGAGAGGAAAAATAAACCTCTGGTTGAAAGCGGCAATTGATTCATTGAGCTGCGCGAATCAGTTTGAATTAGGGTCAGATCCTGACTCTGTCTCCTGACTGGATGATTGTATTAAAGTTCTCTGATTGATTCAAATAGAACATCTATAACCAATCAGAGAGCTTTAATACGATCATCCAATCAGGATACAGAGTCAGGATCTGACCCTAATTCAAACTGATTGGCGCGGCTCAATGAATCAATTGCCGCTTTCAACCAGAGGTTTATTTTTCCTCTCCCCTTCGCAATGAAAATAATAAAAATAAACCTCTGGAACCAGGGTAATACTTGGATAACTTTTCTGACTTTGCGGAGATGCGCGTCTGCACCACAGTCTAAGACACTCGTTACTCAGACTATATAATGCACACGGTTCCGTTTCCGAGCGTTTTTCGGTTTTTGGTTGTAATTAATGCGTTAATTTCTGAAACTGAAAGTACCATTTTCACGTACGTTCTGTTCACACGAAAACGTATGACAACGACGTCAGGAAGCAAAAACGTTTCAAATAGTGAAAACGATGCCAAACATTCGTTCTCTATGTCTGAAACGTTTGGTTGTTTTGGCACTTTGTTATAGTGGAAACAGAAAAGTACGGAAGGGACTATTTGGCCAAGTCGCTTATTGCTACCTATAACCATGAACTCTGTTTTTTTATTGTTCAAAGTTAATTTATTAGCTGACATCCAAGTCGAAACATTTATTAAATCTGCGTTAAGATTCTCTAAGATCACATTGATATCGCTATTAGATGTTGCAATTTGGGTGTCATCGGCAAACATATCTGGTCTAGTGTGTCTTAAACATTTTGGAAAATCATTAACACCTTCGTTCACCATACTTACCCGTTTGGATGGTGAGGTGTTAGCCCGGGTGACCGAGGGGTGGCCTGGGACGACTATTGGCCTTACTGTTACTTGGACTCGGGTTAAGATCCATGCCAGTGGTATCTTGAGCAGACCACCCCCGCAGGGCCAACACCTTCACATCAATTAACAATTGGTGGAAATATAAAAGAACAGGAGAGAAAAAAATCTTTGTTCCTAATACGTTTACTACGCTTCCAACGCACAATGATTACTAATACCACCAATGCGCGGCCAACCTCTTATTACATACTCGCCCGGCCCCCTTTCGGTCACATGATGTGCCGACGTAACGAGGCTTGGTTCCCTAGCTGTTAACCTTTGTTATTGCATAACCTCATTTAACACCTTCGTTCACCATACTTACCCGTTTGGATGGTGAGGTGTTAGCCCGGGTGACCGAGGGGTGGCCTGGGACGACTACTGGCCTTACTGTTACTTGGACTCGGGTTAAGATCCATGCCAGTGGTAGCTTGAGCAGACCACCAAGGGTGATGAACCATCATCCCTCCAAGGAACAGCCTTAACCAGCGTAATGCGAATGGCGACCCACCAGCGATACCATGCCGTATGGTATAAACCGTAGCAAAGTGTGGGCCCCAAGCGGTACCAGACTGTACGGTTCACAACGGAACGAATTACAATTTGCGATCCACAAGCGACCAACCAGTATGGTATAAAACGTAGCGAATTGTGGGCCACCAGCGGTACCAGACTGCATGGTATACAACGGAACGTATTACAAACTGGCGACCCACAAGCGGACCAAGCAAATTGTGGGCCACAAGCGGTACCAGACTGTATGGTACTCAACGGAACGTATTATAAACTTGCGACCCACAAGCGAACCAAGCAAATTGTGGGCCACAAGCGGTACCAGACTGTATGGTACTCAACGAAACGTATTATAAACTTGCGACCCACAAGCGGACCAAGCAAATTGTGAGCCACAAGCGGTACCAGACTGTATGGTACTCAACGGAACGTATTATAAACTTGCGACCCACAAGCGAACCAAGCAAATTGTGGGCCACAAGCGGTACCAGACTGTATGGCACACAACGGAACGTATTACAAACTTGCGACCCACAAGCGGACCAACCTGTATGGTCTAAAATGTAGCAAACTGTGGGCCATAAGCGGTACCAGACTGTATGGTACACAATGGAACGTATTACAAAGTTACGACCCACCAGCGGACCAAGCAAATTGTGGGCCGTAAGCGGTACCAGACTGTATGGTATCCAACGGAACGTGTTATAAACTTGCGATTCACAAGCAGACCAAGCAAATTGTGGGCCGCAAGCGGTACCAGACTGTATGGT